CATGGCGGAAAGCTTAGTGTTTGCAAAAAGCGGTGCTGGAGCCACCATTCATATAGAAAAAATGAATCAACTCCTGCCTCACGCCATATATCAAAATTAATAAATCCAAAATGGGTTGGAGATCTAAATGTAAAAGCTAAAACTGTAAAGCTTCTAGAGGAAAACATAAGAGAAAATCTTTGTGACCTCGGGTGAGGCAAAAATTTCTTAGGTAGAACACAAAAACATGAACCATAAAAAATTATTGCTAATTGGATTTCATCAAAATTAAAAGCATTTGCTCATCAAAAGACACTTAAGAAATAAAAGACAAAGCGTAAGCTGAGAGAAAATTTTTGCCAAATACTTATGTAACAAAGGACTTGTTGCCAGAATATGTAAAAATTCTCAAAACTCAATTAAAAAAAAATAAGCCAAAGATTTAAACAGACACATCACCAAAGAAGATATACGAATGGCAAATAAGCACATGAAAAGATGCTTAACATCATTAGTGATTAGGAAAACGAAAATTAAAGCTACAACGAGATACTACCACACACTATTAGAATAGCTAAAAATCGAAAAAAATAATAATTTATAAATAAATAATATAAAAAAATAATAAAGCACCAAGTACTGGAGAAGACACAGAGCCACTGGAATACTCATACGTTGCTGGTTAGAATGCTAAACGGTACAGCCACTTTTGAAAACAGTTTGGCTTTTTTTAACAGAGGTAAACATGTCTTCCCACATGACTCAGCAATCCCATTCCTAGATATTTGCCCAAAAGAAATGAAAACATAAGCCCACACAAAGACCTGTACAGCACTGTTCTAGCAGCTTTATGTAATAATAGCCAGGAAGTGATGAATAGATAACAAGTTGTGGTGCATCCATACCGTGGAGACAACTCGGCAATGCAAGGAAAGAAACTGCTGACACACACATCAGCGCAGGTGAATCTCAAAAGCTTTACCTTGAGTGAAAGAAACCAGTCTTAGAAAGCTGTTCCATTTATGTGCCATTCTAGAAAAAGCAACAGAAATCAGATCAGTGGTTGCCAAGAGTTGGGAGCAGGGCACAGAGGAACTTTTGAGGGTGATAGAAATATCCCATATCATGATTCTGGTGGTGGTTACACTTGTACTTATATTTGTCAAAACAGATGGAACTGTACATTTAAAAAGAGTGAATTTTAGGGGCCAGCCTGGTGGCATGGTGGTTAGGTTCAGGTGCTCCCCTTTGGCGGCCCTGGTTTTGCAGGTTTGGATCCTGGGCACAGACCTATACACCACTCATCAAGCCATGCTGTGGTGGTGCCCTACATACAAAATAGAGGAAGATTGGCACAGATGTCAGCTCAGGGCCAATCTTCCTTACCAAAAAAAAGGAAAAGAAGTGAATGTTATTGCATGTAAATTATACCTCAAGCCTGATTTTTAAAAAAAACAAGTCAATATGTCATTGTGCTGTTGACATGGACTGCATCCATCCATCTCCACTTCTTACCTGGGAGCTGCCCAAGGCCTCTGGTTTCTCTCCTCCCTGCACTACCCAGGGGGAGCCCTGAACAGCGTGGCTTCCATGCCAGAGAGCGTGCACAGCACAGGGGAGCGGGCATGGCCTAAGAGGGAATGGCAGTGCTGTCAGCTCTCACCCCAAGCCCACAACCATAAAGGGAGCTCAGGTTGGGTCCTGGCACCTACTTCCACAGTTGGGGCCAACACAGCCCAGACTGGAAGATGAGGGATGACTCTGGCTGCTCAGAGCTGGTGGCTGCTAAGCTGCGACACAGACGGCAGCTGTCCTCTCCTCTCTGCTCCTTCCTGGTCAACCTCCTCCCACCCTTCACAGGCATTTATGAAAGTGGACACCCATTTTCCCCGGGTCTGATCCCCAAGATGCCTGGTGTAGTCCTCACTTCTCTCCAGGATATCTGGGCAGCCAAGAGAGGAAACTGTTGTTGCCTCATCACCTCTTACGTCTCAGGCCCTGTCCACCTCGTACAAACTTTCATTTAATCCTCGTAACCGCCACCTGAGGTGAGTGTGATTCTCGGCCTCATTTTACAGACGTGGACATGGAGGCCCAGGGAAGTCAAATAACCCAGCCAGGAAGGAGCCAAGTTGAGCTTTAGACCCCTGTGAGCGAGACCCCAGGGCGAGGGTGTGAACGCTCCACTGCTCGATGCCATCCGATAGTTTGGCTTTCTGTCTCTTGACCCCACGCCCTGGGTTCTCATTCCTTTGCCCGCGTCCTCACAAATACAGCAAGTTCCGTGCTCACAAACGCCCTTCCTCTCTCTAAATCACAGCCAGCTGTGAGGCCCAGGCCCTGCGCTGGCCTCTGGAGTCGGCCTGACTGAATTTGGGCCCGCTTGGGGTGACACATCTGGAAAGGGAAACCCCAGCAGCGAAGGGCAGTCAGCAGCGTCCACCAAGAAGGGGACAGGCACCCCTTGGAACAGCGCCTGGACCCCTCTGCGGGCGGAGTGGCGCCCCTGCCGGAAACCTGCTGCAGGTGAGCAGAGACACCTGGACTCCCCCAGCGCTCTCCAGGTGATGCCGGCCGTTCAGAGCCAGCAGACCATGGGAACAGCTGGTGGTGGGGACCTTCCCTGGTTCAGGGAGGTGACCTGGGTCTCCCGTCCGGCCAGCCAATGAGGAGGCCATGATGCACACCCCCGACTGCAGTGCCCCAGCAGGCGACAAGCAGGAAGAGCGCTGCAAGAGGAATCCTCCTGACCTGATCTGGGCTGCCTTCAAGGCCTTGGTCGGCACCCAGCACTGGCCACTTCTCCCACTGCAGCTGCCCTGGCTCTTCTGAGTGCCAGTGCTTGGGCATCTGGACTGGTGTGGACGTGGGTGCCTCCGGCAAAGTCTCTCATTCAGGTTCAGGCTCAGTGTGTGCACCCTACGCAGACTTCACATGGAACTGATCAGCTGTGCTGGGCTGGGGAGCAGTGGACGGTGAGGAGTTCGGTGGGGAGGGGGAGAAGGGAGCGAGTCCCAGGGAACACCCACAACACCCTGCACTTGGTAGGCGAGGTGGAGGGGGTAGCAGGAGGTGAAGTGGAGGTGGGGAGAGCCCAGAGCAATGCCTGTGGCACACTGACCGGGGCAGACACCTGGAGCAAAAACATGGCACAGGAGGCATTTTTACAAGTTCTTCAGCTGTGTAAGCCACCCCTCTTGCCTGGTCGTGCATGTAGTCTCCGTGCTCCCTGCCTGAGCCATGTCCCCCCTTCTCTAGGCAGCTGCCGCAGACCCTCACAGACAGCCACTGCCTCCCCACTTCCCATAGGCTCCATTCCAAACTCTGTTACCGCCTCCTCCCCCACCATGCCTCCCCACCTCCAACACCTCCGCCACCGCTCCTGTGCCTCCTGCTCCCTACCCATCTGAGGGCCCTCCCTCTATGACCTGGGTCCGGCCTGCCCTCTGATGTCCACCTGAAGCTCCACCTCCTCCAGGCAGCCTTCCCTGGCCAGCCCAGCTTGTGCTGATTTCCCTCTCCTCTGAATTCTGGAAACATGGCCTTCTGTACCTGCACCTGCCCTCTTCCCTGTGGGCCTGCCTTGTCAGACTTTCGCCATGCTCCTCTGGCCTCCTCGAGTAGGCCGTGGGCAGCACAGGGTCTTGTATGGCTGCAGCCCAGGCACGTGCTGTACCTCAATAGGAGGCGTCTGGTGGCAAGGAACACAAGCTGCTTCAGTCAATTTAAGGAAATGAAGGAAAGAGGGGCTTTCCCAGGAGGGCAGGGGGACTCTCATGAACCCAAAGCCAGGATGTGCCCCCATCATCACAAGGTAGGGGCTCGCCCCTGCTGCTCCCTCGGACTTTCCAGGTCTCGGTGGTCTCAGCTTCTCTCTCATGTCCGCATCTTCCTCCTCATCAGCTTCCTCTGCTTTAAGCCCAAACATGGATGCCCAGGCCCTGGCCTCAAAATCTCCTGAGTCCAGTGCTCACAGCTGAATGAGGTCTCTGAGGCCCTATTCCTGGAGGCTGGGCTTGAGGAGTGACCCCTGGGTCAGGTGACTTCACGGTGTAGTCACCAGAGGCCAGTGGGGCGGGGTAACGTGACCCATGCAGGGGCTCCAACTTTGAGGAGTGTGGTCAAGTCCGCCAAGGAGGGGGCAGGGTCTGGAAGAGGTGGAGGCATCCCCTGTACAGAGGGTGCGGGAAGGAAGGTGCCTGAGGCATGCCCGGCAAAGACCCCAGGCGACCCTCTGCTTCTCACTCCTCCTCTCTGGCATCCTGGCCGTGAACTGAGTGCGGCCTTCCTGGCACCCCGTTTATGTTTCTCACTTGTTCACAAAGCTCACTAAAAGGTGCCAGGAAGACCTGAGTTCTATTCCAGGCCTGCCACGTCCCAGCTGGGTGAATTTGGGCGAGTAAAAGATTTCTGAGTGTCCTCATCTGCAAATAGCGGTTACAGGAATGGTGGTGGGGGCGGGGGAGGGCTGGGAGCTACTGAGCTGAGAGTCCAACTGAGGGCCAGGCACACATATGGTAGGGACCCTGAGAGGCCTATCTTTTCATCACGAAAATCAGAAATCAGGATGGTGTGTCATTGTGTAATTGACTATGTTTCTTTTCTTTCACACTGGCACATAAAATAGGTGCACCTTACAATTAATGGCATCCTGGATTTGGTGAAATATGGACCATTACCAGCTGTGCTGATCTGGGGCAAACTGCATTCTCTCTGGGTAAAAATGTCCCCATCTGCAAAATGGGGACAATGTCCCTCCTGCAGTCAGGCACTATGAGGTTAAAACAAGACCATATGTGCAGAGTCTTGACAGTGCCTGTCGCTCCCTCCCTCCCTCCCTCCTGGATGGCACCACTGCTGGGCGGAGGGAGGCTCCGAGCAGACCAAGCTGTCCTGAGCTGGGAGCTTGTTTGTTTATCTGTGGAGAGGGAGGCCTCAGTTCTGAGGGACAAGCAAATATTTGCGGTTACGGATTAACTCGAGTTCCAGGCTGTCATGGCGGCAGGAGGGCGACCTTGCAGTTTCTCCCTGGCCCACCCCAGTAAGTCCCGTTCGAGGCAGGTCTGTGAGGGGACCGGAGGAGGGCTAAGCAGAGGTGAAGATCCATGAGCCAGGGTTTGAGAGGCTGGCTGCAGCTGGGGGTAAAGGGACATCAAGGCTCTGCCACCGGCCAGGTCAAGGCACTGGTGGGCAGTCCCCAGTCCCACGGGGCCCACTCATCACGCGCCTCCTTCCTTCTTTCCAGCCTGAGAGGGAAGTGGGAGCCGGCCGAGGGCCTCCAGGGTGCAGGGCATCACCAGAGGCAGCTTGGAGCCTGGGGCCCTCCATCTCCCCACCTTCCCCCAAAACCTTGGGCATCTGATTTAAACAAATGTCAGAACCAGCCTCAGAGGGAGTCAGCGAAGGTGGAAAGCGAGGTCAGATGGGCCTACCCACTCCCGGGGTCTGGAGGCAGTGGAGGGCTGCTCGGGTTCCCGCCTGCAGGCCTACCTCTGTGGCCTTGCCGGCACCCCGTGGTTTGGGGCAGGGGTTAAGGTTCCAGGCCCGGAGCCATACAGGCCTGGGCTTGAGTCCTCGCTCTGCCACCTTCTGGTTGTGGGTTTTTAATAAGCGAGGCTCAGAGGAGTCTTTGAGCCTCAATTTTCCCCGCTATGAAATGGGGTGACAACATTAATACCTACCTCTTGAGTGCCTGTGAGCCTTAACTGAGAGAATAATAGCTAATGTTTACTGAGTGTTTGCTATGTGCTAATCGTATCTTAAGAGCTTTATGTGGATTACTTCATTTAATTCCCACAAAAACCCTGTAAGACAGACATACAGTTTTTTTCTATCCATTTTACAAATGAGGAAACCAAGGCACAAAGCAGTTAGGCCTCTTGCCCAACACTGCTGTCCTGGAGCTGGGGTTTGCACCAGGCGGTCTGGCCTGGTGGCCTGCCCTCTGAACCACGTACAGATTGCTGGAAAGACACCATGAGTGTCTGGTAAATGTTAGTGTTCTCTTAGCCTGGCCATTAGATCAGCAACGGCCCTGCCCCCAGCCCTGGCCGAAAAGCTGGGCAGGGAGGACGGCTGTGCTCAATCCCCTTTGCTCCACACCAGGACTCCATGGCCTTTCCACCCTCTCTCTGCACCCTTCAGACTTGGGTGGCATGACTCAGCCCCGCACAGGGAAGGAGACTGAGGCGCCAGGTGGCTGTCTGTCTAGGGACCAGGGACCTGGCCCCAGCTCTGGCCCTGGCAATCAGCACGCATGGGAGGCCTTTTCATTCAGCTCCCATCTGGGGGGCGGAAGGCAGAGCAGGGGCTGGTGGGGCTGCCGGAAGCTCAGACATCCTCCTCAGACAGGTATCAGCAACTCCAGAATGTGGCAGATCGCAAGCCTCTTACTGTTTACGACCATCTGGGGAATTTCCGGCATTCCAGCTCCTCCGGGTAAGGCCACTCTCCTCGCCCAGGACCCTCCCCAGGCCATCACACCTTGCACCATCTCCTCTGAGACTCAGGGCGAGAGAGCGCCTCAGGGATGAAGTAACTGAGAAGTCCCGGCTCCGGGCCAGCTGTCAGAACACAGCAGCAGGCCTCAGCGCAGAGGACCTGGTGACGGCAGAGCCAGGTCCTCCTAAGCTCCTTCCTATACCCTAGGGAGTGGGGCACAGAGTCCCCTGGGCCATCCACTCCACCCACTCCCTCCCTCCACTGTGAAAGCTTCGGCCCAGGCCGCCACCCACACTGCCCCAGGACAGCCTTTCCTCCTGAAACGCACATGTGTGGTGCCGCGGCCCCAACCCTTCCCTGGTCCTCATAGCCAAGACGAGGAGGCCAGGATGCTCGGGGAGGCTGCAGGGGGGTCAGCTGTCTGGCTTATTCTGCAGCCCCCCGTCCACCCCAAGCCGCACCCAGCTGTTTCTTACATTTGTGCTTCTTCTCGAACTGCTTGTCTGCCTGGGGGGCCCTTCCCCCCACACCCACCTGTAGGCCACTTGGTTCATCTGTCCGGACCCTGCTCAGGCATACCTTCCTTTCCTGGCCTTTGCATCCCCCGTTGAGCTTCTCCTGCTCACCCCACAACTTGCTCCCTCCATCCTAGCTGTGCCCCTGTACCCAAGACAGACAGCGCTCAGAGCCCAGGAGACATCTGGTGATGTCAGGTGACAGGTCTGCTGCTCTGCAGGTGTACCTGCCAAGGGGAGGGGCATGGGAAATGCTCCATGAGGGAAGGGGAGGGAGGGTGGAGGGGCGGTGTCAAGAGGGGCTGCACAGGTGTATCAGGGGAGGATGAGCCTGATTTCGCTCTGCAGTCTTAACAACAGCACGTGTCATGTGGCGCTCTCTTCTGGGCCAGCACTGTACTGTGTTTTACGAGATTATCTCATCCTCACTTTTTTGATGAATAAACTGAAGTTTAGAGAGGTAAAGACACTAGCTCAAGGTCACACAGAGGTCAGGCTGGGGTCCAAAGGGAGGCCTCAGTGGTCAAGTCTCCTGTCCTCCGATGGCTGGCCGTCTGCTTCGTGTGGAGGAAGAGAGCAGAGCAGAGGAGCAGGGGAGCGCATCGTTACCTGGAGTCATAAGTCCCAAGGCGCCCAGGCTCTCCCCAGCCGGGCTCACCCCAGGCCCCTCCACCAAAGTGCGCTCCCTCCCCCAGCAGACTCAGTGTTCGCCAGCAGTGAGCGTGCCCACCAGGTGCTGCGCATCCGCAAGCGCGCCAACTCGTTCTTGGAGGAGCTACGGGACGGCAACCTGGAGCGGGAGTGCCGGGAAGAAGTCTGTGACTTCGAGGAGGCCCAGGAGATTTTCCAAAATCTGGACGACACAGTAAGGCCACCCAATTGGGTTCAGAGGATGAGGTTCAGGGGTGGGCTGAGGGCCAGCTGGACCTGGAGGAGGAGGTTGGGGCCCGACTGCTGAGGGCCTCTTGGAGTCCTTGGAGGCAATGGGCGCCGGCCCCTTCTCCTCCCAGCTTGTTGGGGGTGGGCGAGTGGAATGACCAGGATACTGGCCCTATGGTCTTGGTCAGGACACACGCGACTGCAAGTAACAACTCTGCAATGAGCTCCAGGAAAGAGAGTTTGGGGAAGCCTTAGGCTGAGATTCCCACCCAGCTCCTCTGTAGGCAGTTCAGTCCGCCTTCCACCCCACCTGGCCACCACTGCCTCCCCCATTCTCTCGCTGTGACCAAAAGGCTGCCATCTCTGCTTCCACCCACGCACCTGCTGATCAGGGTGCAAGGGACCCAAGACTCCCCGAGGTCTGTTTACTACACTCACTCTGTGCCTCGGTTCAAATTCTCAGGGGACAAAAATCTGATTGCTCGGGGGATCAGAAGAAAGGGTTTGTGTCCTCTCTGGCCCCCAGGCCCTATGGGGGTGGCCCTGGGGTGTGGAGGCGAAAAGAGGCAGTGGTAAGGGAGGTGGCTTCCTCATATGAGGCTCAGGCCCTCTCCATCCCCAAGGGCTCACTTCAGCTACTAGAACCTGGAGTTGTGCCACCATCTGGGGTCCCCTTCCTGTTCAGGGCTTTCAGGCCTGAAGGGGGAATGCTGGTCTGCTTCCTATCCTGCCCTCAGCTGCCTCCTCCTTGACCAGACCCCGCACTGCCTCTTTTCACAAATGGCCTCCTCAGCAGATGCCACAAAGACTTTCTGAGGAGCAACCTGAGCACATTGCATCCCTCCCAGGCTCCCCGCCTTACCCCAGGTCTCCCAGGGCGTGAATGTCATGCACGGGGCTGCTGCCATGGGGGGGCTTGATGGCACAGGCGCAAAGCAGTGGATCTCAGGGTGTGGTGGTCCCGGACCAGCAGCAGAAGCACCACCAAGGACCTGGTTAGAAAAGCAGACACCCTGCTGCCCCAGCCCTTCTGAACCGGCAGTCTGTGTTTCCCCAGCGAGATCCTGGTGCTCGCTCAACTTCAAGAACACTGGCTTAGGGAAAGACCAGAGGTGCCTGAGATGGGAAAAGCCGGGAGGAGTCATGGGGGCTGGAAGGAGGCAGAGCAGCCTGGGCCGGAGTTTTGGGTCCCTTCCACTGCAGAGTCTGCTGCGGTAGGAGACACAGCCCAGACAGCAGGCTTCCAGCCACACAGGGGAGGGAGGTTGTGCCCAGGATGTGGGGTGGAGATGGGCAGCAGGGGGCAGCGAGGAGCCTCGCCTTACTCAGGGGGCAGGTGTACCAGTGGCTGGCGACAAGCAGGGGTTGATCCCTCTTTGTCTGGAAGCCCTTCCCTCCCCTGCCCGCTTAGAGGCTCCCCTGCCCCATCTGAGCCAGACCGGGAGACGCCGGGCGGGCTCCCCATATACGCAGATGGGTGGACCGCCCCTGACGCTGCCCCTTCTCTCCACAGCTGGCCTTCTGGTCCAAGCACTACGGTGAGTGCGCTCTTCATTGCTGGCTTCGGCACCCGCCCCCCTCGGGGTCTCTGGGCCGCTGTGGGGACTGGGAGGAGGCTGGTGACAGCAGTGACACCCCACCCCCACCCCATGTCGCAGACGGGGACCAGTGCGAGGCGCCGCCCCCGGAGCACCCGTGCGACAGTCCGTGCTGCGGGCAGGGCACCTGCATCGACGGCATCGGCGGCTTCCGCTGCGAGTGCAGCCGGGGCTGGGAGGGCCGCTTCTGCGTGCACGGTGAGAGGGCGGGCCCGGCCCGGCGGGGGCGCGGGGGTCCCGGGGGCTGGCCGGGCGTCGGGGCGCGGCGAGAGTGGGGGCCAGCCGGGCGGGGGTCCAGGCGCGCCGTGCCACCGTGCCCCCGTGCCCGGTGTCCTCCGGCGCCCCCTCCTTGTCCGCGCAGAGGCGCGCTTCTCCAACTGCTCGGTGGACAACGGCGGCTGCGCGCACTACTGCCTGGAGGAGGCGGACAGGCGCAGCTGCGGCTGCGCGCCCGGCTACCGGCTCGGGGACGACCACCTGCAGTGCGAGCCTGAAGGTAAGCCCCGAGCGGGAGGGACGGCGGGGCGCAGGGAGGCTCCGGGGGGGTGAGCGAGGAACGGGGTTGAGTCCCAGTCAAGGGAGACGGGCTTGCCCCCCCAGGTACCCCTGCAGTGCGGCCAGCCGGCAGGAGGGAGGCTGCCCTCGCCCGGCCAGCATCCCGCCTGCTCTTTTCCCGGCTTGCCCACCTTCCTCTAGGTGCCCCTGCTCACCTTGGGCAATTCCTGGAGCTTGAACCCATACATAGCTCGCCTCCCAAACTCCGAGAGGATGCAGGGGGCCAGGCCTCCAGCCCCTTCCTCCATCTATGTTGTATGGCTTCATTTCCTTAAGACACCTGTCCATCACAGCACCCATTCCCCCTTGAACCCTGGCTTCTCAGAGAAGAGATAGGACCCACGATTCTGCCTTCTTTTCTATTTTCCTTTTTATATGTTTTAATTTTTGTCAAATTTATATATGTACAAAGAAATCAGAGTTTTCCAGTTCCTATAATGCGTTTCAGCGGGCTGTCCCTTGCCGGGGGTCTCTTTCATTGGTTGTGCAGTGCCCTGGGTGGACCCTTGTAATGTGGAAATTCGTGTCTTCCACTTCGAGGAGTGTTTCTTCAGTTACTTCTTTGATGATCTCCTCTCTGCTTTCTCTCTTCTCTTTCTGGACCTCCTGTATTCAGATCTCTTTTCTTGGGGGATCTGCTACTTTTATTATCTTTTCTATTTTCCATCTCTTTGACTTGTTCTTCTTTCGGGGAACTTCCCACAACTTTATGTTCCAATCCTTTTACTGAAAAAAATTTCTAACTTTTTAGTTTGAAATAAGTAGAGGTTCTCAGGAAGTTGCAAAGCCATGCCTGGTGGACCTGTCAGCCTGTGGGCTTTCCTGCAAGGCCCCGCAGGCCTGGGTCACTGGCGAGCCTCTGCTGCCCAGGCCCTTAGGTCTTTACTTTAGGCCGATTTCGGAGAGGAATCCTCCAAGCTCAGGCTTGGGTGGTTCTGGCCTGGCTTCCAGCCGCTCGGAGCAGGGTGGGGAAGGGGAGCTGGCGTCTGCTGCAGATGTCTGCGTGACTCCCTCTGGTCAGCCTTGCACGCCACTCTTTCCTGTGGCAGCGCCTGGAGTCCCAAGGTCACAGTCTCTGGTTCACCCTCTGCAGGGAGTACACCTGTGGTCTTCTGCAGGGGTGAGAGAGGAGAGTCAAGCTACTGATGAGGGGTTGGGACAGGGGTCTATGGCTCTAGCAGCTTCTTTTACAAACTCTCACCATTCCTGTCTGCACCTCCCTGCCCCCCATACCATGTCCTTCAGAAGCCCTGAGGCTTCCTGGGAGCCTGTGGTCAGAGCTCTGCTTCTGGCATCCCCTGTCACTGGCTGGAGTTTTTGCGTTCTCAGTCGGCCAAGTCATTTGCCATGTCCACCTGCTGTCCAGCTCCTGGAATTTTGTTGCTGTTGTCGTGTCTCCATTCTCTGCACGGTGCAGTTCCCTGGCTGGTGCTTTCCCATTGCTCTTACAACAAGTCTCCAACTCTCAGCCTAGCAGGAAGGGCCCCTCACGGGCAGCCCCTGGCAGACCTCCCTGCCCTCAGGGCTCTGTCATGTGCTCTCTCCTCTTGGCAGAGGACCTCGTAACCATGCTGAGAGCTACTTTGAGGCTCTCCAGGAATGCCCACCTCCTCCTCCCCATAGTTTCTCACCTCTGTTAGGAGCTTGGCAGCATCCCAGCATGAGACCTTACTTATGTATCTCAGAGAATGCTCCCAACAGCCCTGAGGTATACTGAGCTCCATTAGGTTTAACAACCTGCCCAAAGACACAGCAAGCTCATGATGCTGTGACTAAGGCAGTGTCTGATCTTTGCCATTAGGTGGCACTGTTTGTTGACTGACTGACTAACTCGAGGGGTTTGCAGGTTAATATAATTGAGTATCTAAGCATCATTTACCCCTTTAACCCTACAATGTGGCCAACTAGCCTGCAGGCCAGAGGTGGACAAGGATGGGATGGCAGCCTTGGGAGTAGTGCCCGGCAGGCACTCACCAGCTCCCCCTACTTTCAGTGATGTTCCCTTGTGGGAGGCCGGGCAAGCGAACTGAGAAGAGGCGCAAGAACCTGAAACGTGACACAGAACAAGCAGACCAAATAGATCCGAGGCTCGTCAATGGGCAGTTGACCGGATGGGGAGACAGCCCCTGGCAGGTGAGAGATGAGGCGGCAGCCGCCTCTCATCGGCTGGGTCAGGGGTCACTGAGCCCTTCCTGCTCAGGATGCACAGATGGGGAGGGGACGTGTTGCCTTTGCTGGGTAGGGAGAGTGGAGAGTGCCAAGGGGGGCATTCAGAGAAAGTTGGAGGGAACCCACTGGGAGAGGAGCAGCCAGGGCAGGGTGGGGTGCCGGGGTATCCCAGGTACATGGCAGGGGGCCCGGTGCTTGGCGAATGTGCAGGAAGGAGAGCTGTAGTTTACAAAGAGCTGGACGGACGCTGCTCTGCTGGTGGGGTTTCAGGCAGAGGCCCTGCTGATGGGAGAAGTGTTTTGCGTGGGCGAAGGCTGGGAGGGAGGGTCGACCCCTGAGTTCCTCTCCAGCCTCACCATGGGCACTAGCACTCATTTGGCCCCCTCTCTGCTGGGCACTGGGGGGGAGAGACATCAAGAAGCGGGGGATGGGCAGGCCTTGGGGAGCTCACCAGGCTCTGGGAGGGACAGGCCCCTAAACACACAGCAACCCAGAGGGACCAGAGCCAGGACGGCCAGCAGGACAGGGGCTGAGGGAATCCCGAGGGGGACACCCGAGGCAGCCTGGGGGCCTCAAAGGCTTCTCAGAGGACCCGAGGCTCGGCCTGAACCCCAAGGGTGAGAAGAAGTCTCTGGGTGCTGCTGAGCATGACTGCAGGACAGTGTGGGCAAAGGCAGGGGATGCCTTGGAACAGGCCAGTTCTGTAAAACATGCAGAAATAGAAGATACCAGAAGAGGGCTGTAAGTCCATGCCCATGGTTCCCATACCTATGTCCAGGGAACCCAGGAAAGACCTCCTTCTGCAGCCAGTGACTCAGGCTTGAGAACCGTGCGAGGGGCTGTGGTGAGGCCCAGCCCGGACTGGGAGTTGTCAGAAGGTAGTGCTGTGACGTCCCCCGCCCCCCGCCGCCATTCCAGGTGATCCTGCTGGACTCCAAGAGGAAGCTGGCCTGTGGGGCGGTGCTCATCCACACCTCCTGGGTGCTGACAGCGGCCCACTGCATGGAGGACTCCAAGAAGCTCATCGTCAGGCTCGGTGCGGGCTGGAGCCAGGCGGGAAGGGCCACCAGAGACAGGGTGGCAGGTTTGGGGACCTTGGTCTCTGGGCTGCTTGAGCTCTACGGATGGTGTTTGGGGGAAGAGGCCCAAGTGCCCCCACCCCGCCTCTGCTGCGGTGGAATTCCAGACACGGGGACACCTGGTATCTTGCAGGCAGGGCATTCTCTGGTGCCCTTGTCCAATCTGGGCCCTGGTGCTTACACACACGTGTTTGCAGGCAAGGGGGTTACACACACACTTGCCTCTTCACTCTCTGGTGGGGCAGGCTGCGTGTGTGGGCCTCCAGCACCCTCAGGCACAGAGACCCACGAGGTGGCCACATGGCCGGCTCAGAGCCAGGCTTCACATAGACTGATGAGGGTGGAGCCATGCGGCGGGGCCCTGGCGTCTGCCACAACAGCGGCTGCTTCCCTGCAGTAGTCCAGGGTCCCCAGGCCAAGCCCGCTTTACACCAGCTTCTGGAGGGGCTCTCACTCCACTCTCTATGCAAAAAAGAAGGAAAAGCTGTGTTGAGAATGACCAAATTCACTCTCTGCTGTTACCTCCAGCACAACCAATGGCCAGTGGCCTCCAGTGGGGCTCCACTTGGAATTCCCAGTGCCTCCTCCCTGCCCCCCGCCCCTTCTAGGATCCATCGGCCTTGCCTGAGAGGACCTTGTCTCTTTGTGGGGTCCGGATCTTTCTTCCCTAGTCTGCCTGGGTCCTGTTGGCCCTCTTCTCTGGGTCTTGCTGCTCTTAACCTCGCACCCCATCATGGCGTGCCCCTGCCTTGTGCTCAGGCCATGTCTCTGCTGGCAGGAGAGTTGTGTCTCTCCAGCTGCAGTCACCACCTTCCTGTGTGGCTCTGCTCTGTGTCCTAGGTTTCTAGGAGCCTTGGGCTTCCTTGCTCACTGCCCATTGCTGGTTACTTCCCAGGCCCTACTCTCCGCCTGTGAGCGAGTCCTGAATTCAGACCAGCATACTGCCCCTTTGGGATTGACACCCATGGGCTGCTACCCTTGATAGGGATCTGAGGTACAGACAAGTGGCCCCCGTGACAGTCCCTGGGACACGCAGTGACCACTTCAGCTGTGGACCCACTTCCTGCCTCCCACCAGGGCCTGCATGAGTGCAGTGATCCTGTTGGCCTCCCCCAAGCCCACTCTGACCGCCCCTCTGCCCTGCAGGGGAGTATGACCTGCGGCGCCGGGAGAATGGGGAGGTGGACCTGGACATCCAGGAGGTCATCATGCACCCCAACTACAGCAAGAGCAGCAGCGACAACGACATCGCACTGCTCCGCCTGGCCCGGCCTGCCACCTTCTCGCAGACCATTGTGCCCATCTGCCTCCCGGACAGCGGCCTTTCAGAGCGCGAGCTCACCCAAGCTGGGCAGGAGACAGTGGTGACGGGCTGGGGCTACCGCAGTGAGACCAAGAGAAACCGCACCTTCGTCCTCAACTTCATCAAGGTCCCTGTGGTGCCGCATAGCGAGTGCGTGCGGACCATGCACAACTTAGTCTCTGAGAACATGCTGTGCGCCGGCATCCTCGGGGACACGAGGGACGCCTGTGAGGGTGACAGTGGGGGGCCTATGGTCGCCTCCTTCCGTGGCACGTGGTTCCTGGTGGGCCTGGTGAGCTGGGGTGAAGGCTGTGGGCGCCTCCACAACTACGGCGTTTACACTAAAGTCAGCCGCTACCTCGACTGGATCCATGGCCACATCAGGGCTGCCGAGGCCTCCCTCAAGAGCCAGGTGCCTTAGCTTCCCTCCCTCCTGTGTCTGGACCCCAGAGGCCACTCTTGAAGGGCAGCTGGGTTGTTGAATGGCAGTGTATGGGACATTAAATGGGGCATGCAACAAGCACACCAGCTTCTGTCTCTCCATCCGTCTTCTAGACTTTCCTGGAGGGAAGTTTATGGAGCATCTGCTGCATGTCCCACACTTTACAAACAATCTTATGGAGCCCCCACAGCGACTCTGGGGTGGGGAGGAGCAGATCCAAGTTTTGTGGGGTCTGAAGCTGACAACATCTGGGGGGGGGGCTCTCTTTATGGAAAAGAATAAAAAATGTGACTACAAACTGTGAGAGCCCCTCCCAGGGCCTTGGAAGGAGCCTGTGCAAGTCAGGGATCCCGAAGCTGGAGCAGCACGGTAAACCCCGCTGAGAAGGGAGAGGTTTTTAGCTCATGTTACAGAGGAAGAAACTGAGGTTCAGGAAGGTTTACTGGGTGGAACCAGGATTCAAGTCTAAATCTGACTCCCCACCTCGGGTGCTGCTGTCTCTTCTCCGCGGTTCCTGGAGAACAGCTGTTTTGAGCACCTGCTGGTGTGGAGCCATCATTGGCCCTGTGGCAGAAGTGGCCAGAGGCCCAGAAGGTCTGGCTGCACCCAGGAGATTGGTTCCGCCCAGAAGGAGCTCACAGTGTAGCTGGGGAAGCTGTTTAAGAACGATGTTACATAATCATGAATAGCAGTAATCAAGAGGCACTGTCTTGACCCAGCCTTATAGGCATTACTGGATGAGACACAGAAATACGTTAGGATGGACCTGATAAAGAGGGATAGCGGCGAGACAAAGCCAAGACAATTAGTCTAAAGTCAAACTTCATCTAAGTCTGTGTGGGCTTGGGCAAGCCACTTCTCTGGGCATCAGAAGAATGAAGGGATTAGATGGGAGCACTGGTCCTCAATCCTGGCTGTACATGTGAATCTCCTGGGGAGCTTTCCAAAGCAGCTATGTCCAGTTTCACCCTCAGACATGATGGTTTAATTGATTTAGGGTTGGGGACCCAGATATTGATATTTTAAAAACTCCCCAGGTCATTTTAATGTGTGACTGGGGTTGAAAGCCACTGGACTAAATGATCTTTAAGGACCTTTACTGCTGGGGTGGGTGCTAGTTCTGAGATGCTCAGGGCCCGTGAGAATGAAGACCAGCAGTCTCGGGAAGTATAGCACAAGTCAGTCAGCAGAAAAGGGGGCCCTGACGTGTGATTACACTCAGCTTGTCGGGACCATGGCTGCTGCTTACAGGCCAGAGGAGACACCCAGACCCTCTGAGTTACCCACGTGCAAGCACAAGAAAAGGGGCATGCCTGAGAGGGGCCTGCAGGATCCATCTCCTTACAGACCCGGCAAAGGGACAGGTGGGGCTGCTTGGAACTGGGAGGAAGCCAGGCCCAGGGCTGGGACCGTCTGCCCATTAGTGTAATAGGCCAGTGTCCCGGATACTTGCAGTGCGACATGATGGATTGAGAGAGGGACAGTATGCTGGACATCTTTGCCCCTGTGAAAGATTCCCCAGGTGAGTTTTCTGTCAAGATAGTTAACTAGCTCAGGCGAGATGACTTCTGGCATCGCAGCGTAAGGAGATCTGACAAGTTCCCCAGTGAAACCTGTGAAAATTATAAAAACAAACATTTAAAGTCTCTGGAAATGGTCTTAAGGGCAAAAAAAAACAAGAACAAAACTTTTAAGCCAGCCCAAGAAAGCTTGATCTAACAGAAAGCAAAGAAGGAGCATCAAAATAAATAAGCAGCACATAAAAATCTATTGCATTTCTATATATTAACAATGAACATGCTGAAACCAAAAGTAACAACACAATACCACTTCCTGTCACTTTAAAGAAAGTGAAGTACTTAGATATAAATTTAACAAAACACGTACCAGGGCTGTGTGATGAAATTTACAAAATGCTGATGAAAGAAATTAAAGACCTAAATACATGGAGAGATATTGGAAGAGTCAACATAGTAAAGATGTCAATTTTCCCAGAATTGATCTATAAGTTTAACACGATTCCTGTCAAAATCTCAGCATGTTTTTTTCATACACCAGACAAGCTTATTATAAAATATATGTATGGAAAGACAAAGGACCTTGAATAGCTAAAACACTTTAGAAAAAGAATATATTAGGGGGGATCATTCTACCAGTGTCATGACGTGTAATGTAGCTACAGTAATCAAGAGTGTGTTATGATATTGGTGGAGGGAGAGACACATAGGTGAATAGAGAATTCAGAAATAAACCCAGACAGCAACGGCCATCTGATTTTTGACAAAGGTGCAAATGCAATTCAATGGAGGAAGGAGAGCCTTTTCAACACGTGGTGCTGGTACAACGGGGCATCCATAGGCTAGAAAATGAACCTCAACCTATGTCTCACAGCTTATACTGATCTCTCTCCACTTATGACGGGGTCATGTCCTGATAAACCTATAGAAAGTTGAAAATATCGTGAGTCAAAAAAACATTTAATACACCTAATCTACCAAACTTCATCCCTTAGCCTAGCCTACCTAAACGTGCTCAGGACACTTACATTAGCCTACAGTTGGGCAAAATCATCTAACACAAAGCTTATTTTATAATGAAGTGTATCTCGTGTAATTTATTGAATACTGTACAAAAAGTGAAAGACAGAATGATTGTCTGGGTACAGATGGTTGCAGGTGTGTCAGCTGCTCACCCGTGACCATGTGGCTGATGGGAGCTGTGCTCACTGCCGCTGCCCAGCATCACGAGAGAGGATGTACCAGCTATTGCCAGCCCAGAGAAAGATCCACATTCATACTTTGAAGTGCGGTTTCTACTGAATGCGTATCGCTTTTGCACCATCATAAAGTCGAAAAATCATAGGTCGAACCATCATAAGTTGGGAACTGTCGGTAAAAATAATTAACTGAAAATGGACTTATACGTAAAACTATAAATTAAACAAGAAGAAAGTACAGTTAATTGAAACTATGGAATAAGATGGAAATAATAAATGTACTTAAGTTAAACTTACCAATTAAAAGAGAGAACTCTCAGAATAAAAAAATAAACCTAACAATATATTATTTATAGACAACTTGAAAACTCAAAACAGTGAAAGATTGAAAACAAAGAATGCTAGAAATTCTCTATAAATTTGAATGAAAAGAAAGCTAAGATAGTGATTTTAATAACTGGTAAAATGGAAATCAAGGAAAAATGTAAACAATAAAGATGGACATTAAATACTGAGAAAAGAATCAATCATGTATAAAGATAGAATTATCATACAATATTATGTGCCTCCAACAGTATAACCCAAAATATATGAATCAATAGTTAACAGAGGTGCTGAGAGAAATAAGCAATTGTATTTGGAGATTTTTAAAAACACTCTCGAAAACCAAAATATTGAACATTAAAAAAATAAGTGGATATATAGAAGGTCAAGACAATAAAATTAATATGCTTGAGTGATTCTTTTTCAGAAAACTGGGAGCATTTACAAAAATATAGTGGGCCATGAAGGAAGCCTTAATAAATCCCAAGGGCCCAGTATGATACAGAATATATCCTCTAGCCCAAAGGCAATGAAAATAGAAATTAATAGCAAAAGATAGGTTCAAAATCTTATATATTTTCAAACTAACATATTAGTAAGAAATCATAAGAGAAATTATGAATTTAAGAATAGTAAGAATTAAATGTTAAATTGTGGGACACAGCTGAAACCATTCATAGAGGAAAATTATATCTTTAAATACACCTATCAAGCAACAAAAGTTAAAAGCAAGTGTGTATTAGTCAGGTTCTCCAGAGAAACAGAACCAACAGGATGGAGATTACATCTATATGTGTATCTCCTACACATATCTGAGAGAGAGAGAGAGGTTGATTTTAGCGAATTGCCTCGTGCAATTGTGGAGTCATGGCCAGCCCACAATCTGGTGGGATAGACTGGCAGGCTGGAGGCTCACGGAAGAGGGGCAGTTCTAGTCCAAAGGCCGTCTGCTGGCAGAATTACCTTCTTGCTCAGCGGAGGTCAGTCTTTGCTCTCTTGAGGCCTTCATAGAACAATAAAACTGATCGGATGAGGCCCACACACGTTATGGAGCTTAACCTGCTTTACTCAGTCTGCTGATTTAAATGTTAATCTCATCCAAAAAAGCCCTTCAAAGAAAACATCCAGAATAATGTTTGACTAAATATCTGGGCACCATGGCCAAGATTACTCATAAAATCAACCATCACAAAGTGTTATGGGTTGTGGGGCTGGCTCCGTGGCCGAGTGGTTAAGTTCGCGTGCTCCGCTGCAGCGGCCCAGGGTTCGGATCCTGGGCGCAGACATGGCACCGCTCGTCAGGTCACGTTGAGGCGGCATCCCATATCCCACAACTAGAAGGACCTTCAACTAAGATATACAACTGTATACAGGTGGGTTTGGGGAGATAAAGCAGAAAAAGAAAAAAAAAAAAGATTGGCAACACTTGTTAGCTCAGGTGCCAATCTTAAAAAAAAAAAAAAAAAAGAGTAACACATCTCTGTGAAAAAAAACCAAAAAAACCAAAGTGTTATGGGTTGAACCATGCTCCCCCAAAATTCATATGTTGAAATCCTAACCCCCAGAACCTTAGAAGGTGATCTTATTTGAAAATAGGGTCAATGCAAATGTAATTAGTTAAGATGAGGTAATACAGGAGTAGGAGGGGCCCCTAATAGCCTAATGTTCTTATAAAAATGGAGAAATTTGGATATAGACACACCAAGGAGGCAGACGATGTGGACACACAGGTTGAAGGCCAGGCGAACATGAAGTCAGAGATCTGGGTGATGTGTCCACAAGCCAAGGAGCTCCGGAGATTGCTAGAAACCACCAGGAGCTGGGAGAGAAGCACAGAACAGGTTCTCCTCACAGCCAAGAGAAGCAGCAGCCCTGCTGACACTTTGATCTTGGACTTGTAGCCTCTAGAACTGTGAGACAATACGTGTCTGTCATTTAAGCCCCACAGTCTGTGGTACTTTGTTACAGCAGCCCTAGAAAACTAACATAGCAAGTGACACAAGAATTCTACTTAAGCACATACCAAAAATAACACAAACCC